TGCAAATTCTTTACAAAATGTCCCCAAGGATAAATGGACTATATGCAGTCCACTTTATTTAAAGAAGAAATCGCTGAATTACTTTTCTAGTCAGTGAATCCCTTTCTCTGTTTTATAGAGGAGGTTGCACCGTTTGATGGAGCCATGTACTCATCTGGTGTATGTTGACACAATGTAGTTGGCATTAATTGAGCGACGCTAACTGCTCGTTAATTGAGACTGTTAGCTGAAAATCTGTCCCAAAATTCACTGATAGTAGTCGGCTGCAGAGAGACAGGAATGTGAGAGTATTGAATTGAACAATCATCGCAGAAGATGAAGAATGAAATTGAGTGCTAAGTTTGAGTCTTTATGAAAAGCATGCTGTAAGTAAAGGGTTTTAAATGTCTGTAGCAAATCCCATGCACTTGTAGCTCTCTTGTTAGTTCTGCTACCAGTCCTTTAGGTTCGCTGCTGATGTAGAGAGCTGTGCCATAATGTTTTTCCTCATGTGTGGCTGGTTCTTAAACGGGATTGTCACTTTTGAGTGTCAGATTAGAGCTTGTTTGCTAAAGCAACAGCAGCAAGAGTAGTCGGTCTCAGGACAGTCTTGTCTCTTGAGATTTCCAGGGCAATCACGTGAAATTTATCTTCATTTTAGAAAACATGTGCTCAACACTGTATAGAGTATTTAAATATACTAGGACTGCTTTTCCAAAGTGTACGTTATTTAAGCATGTTGTTCTATCACATTTGGGGAAAGTATCTGTCTTATTCTTTGTAACTGTCTGTCCTTGATGCTCAATTGTATTATCCTCTGCTGTTTTTCTAACATGGTGTTTCCTACTTTAAAAAAAAACAACAAACACAACTAGCATATAACGTGTGATTTTTCTATAAGAAGATATTCAAGTTTTGCAGCTTTTTTTGAGCTGCCTACTTTGAAATCTGAAAACTGAAGCACAGAAAAATATATCATTGCGGCTGGGCAGTTTCCTTCAGCCACGTACACCCTTTGCCAGCTGTTGCAGCTAGGCAGAATGTAAATGGCAGTAGTTCTTGTCGGCAGTAGGCTGGGCTATCTGTTTTAGCTGGGTTAAATAGCTTTGCAGCTGCAATACCCCAGCACTATAGTACAGGGAAAATTCACCACTGGAGGATATGATTTGTCCTGGAAAAGATACTAGCGTCATTGCTGTTAACGTTCCTACATTGTGAAAGGGCTGTGTCTCTGTGAGAGAGCACGTTGGTAGCTGCAGTCTCAGATTAAGTGAAGTTTTAAAGAAATGTTTGGTTCTTTTGAAGTCCATGGAGTTGCTTATGTGGGTAGAATTAAGGTTGTTCTGGTTCCTTAATTATGCACATCCTTAACATAGTTATTTAGATTTCTCTTTCTATTTAACCCTACAGTGATTTTCCCTTTTTTTTTTTTTTTTTTTTTGAGGTTTTACTGTTTGGGCATTTATGATGTTTGTGGTTTAACTTTGGTGTATGACACCACATTCAATGTGGATTTTGATTCAATGTAGATTATAGATAGGCAAGGTTTTTCTCTTCGGAGTTTAAATAGTTTTGTACTTTAAATACTCAATCTCTGTGTTAGGCCGAGGTTTTAAAATTTACTGTATATTGAAAACATGGCTACATTTTGCTGAAAGACAAATGTTCTTGGCACACTTTAGTTTAACACAATGAGTGTGTTAAAAGAGTAAGTTTTCCACTATGCTAGAAGCTTTTCTCCACCTGTTTAAGCTATGTGACACTGGGGGAGGAAAGAAGCCTTAATTTTTGCAGCAGAAACAAAAAGCTAAAGCCGTGAAAGGACTTGAATACTGAGGTGCTTCCAAACTCCTCCTTCAGGTGTTTCAGTTAGAAATGGCGTTCTTCTAAGCTCCTGCATAGTTGTTTCTTAAACCGTAAAGGTACTTAATTGTACTGCTTAATGAGGATTTTCAGGTCTATGAAGATTTATTTTAAGGACATATGTAAAAATGCTTGCAGTAGTTGGTAGGTAGATCATACTTAAACTCCAGTGAGCTCTATGAAGTAGACGTTGTGTTACCTCTTCTTCTTAATATATTTCATTTGGTAGATGGTCTGAAAAGATGCCTTATGAATTATACTCCACACAAAGTGATAGAAAGACCAAGCAGTAATAGTTATATACCATCCCTACCTTATAGCCAGCAATTCAGTAGTTGAATTGGAACCTTTTATGTGGTTGGGGGCACCTGGATTTGTTTTCCTCCTTTTGCATAAATCTAGCTGTCCTAAATACAGTGCAAGTGTGTTCCTGAATGAGTTAGTAGTTTAAAATAAGTCTGATGGGGAGAGACATCAGCACTTGACCTGTGGCAGTATTTTCAATGGAAGGATGGACTGCTGCTTAAAAATCTTCTGAAAAGAGTTTTTTAAACACATAATTTCATGGAAAGATTCACAACATGTCTGCCTAAGGGTGAAGAATCATCCTTTGGTAGCCCAGAAGAGAGTGAGTACATCCTAAAGAGGAGTGTTTAACACTCATCTCCAAGTTTTCAGGGAAAAATCAAGGTGGTATTAAAATTAACTAAAGTTGCAGCATGTAACTTAGTTACATTTTAATCTTTCTCAGTTTAGTTTATAATGAGAATCAAGTTAACTGTAACAGAGAATGGAATGGAATTTATTATTTTGCACAGTGTGACATGGGGTAGGGTTAGCAAAACATCATCATGCTTAGCTAATTAAACTGGCCGTCAGCTCTGGATCTTTGTGTAACAGTAGAAAAACTGTATTCCCAGGCATTCCAACTAGTTTTTAATATGATGGTAAGCTGGTCAAAATAAGTGTGTTGTGCGTGTTTTTTTGTTTTTTTTTTTTTTTTTTTTTGTGCAAAACAAGAAGCATACAGCTAGTTAATAGTACACTGGTACAACATGTCTTACATTAGTTACATGAAAAATTCTAGTTAAATACGCTTAAAGTGGAATTAGGAACAGGGGAAATCTTTGCATATGCTGTAGCTGAATTCATGTGCATGCAATGAATTACCCAGGTAATTAAAGTTGCTTGGTGGAATGAATGGCTTTAAAAGAGATACAAGAAAATTGCTTGGACTTAAATACCGTTAGTATGTAATTGCAGAAAATGGTATAAATTCATCTTGGTGTCTGTTGTTTCTATAATGTAAGTTATGTCTTGTGCTGTAACTGAATTTTGTTGCTTCAGGGTGTTTTGGAAGTGAGACAGCCCCTCTTAATAGGTTTTTTGGTAAACAATTTTTAAAAGGAAAACATGAGCATGCTTTAAATGTCATAAAGCTAAACCAAATACCTCTTCTCTTTGACTTCTTCGCATACTCAAATTGCTGGGCATTTCAGTTTTATTCTTCATTTTCTAGTTTAAGCTTGTCTAATTGGAACTCATTAAGCTATGTTATGCCTCTTTCAGCTAGATGGAAATTTCTATCATTGTTACAGTTCTCCATGGAGATGGGCACCCAGTGATGTTACTGAATACATCACAAATATTGTAGTAGCTCACCCCTGATAGAAACCCAATTTCTGGCTCAGTTCTCTACACTTCATGGGCATTCTGCACTCCCAAGAACTCATCATCTCCTGGTATAAATTGTCACAGATTTTTTCCAATTAAATGAAGTTTACCTTGGACTAACTTTTATGCAGCTTTTCATTAATGAATTGAACAGTGAAACAGAGTACGCTTACAAAGCTTGCAGATGATGTCAAGGTGGAAAGATCTGCAGCTCTTGGTGGACAGTTTCATAATTTGAACTGATCTCGCTAAATTGCCGTACAGTCCCAAATTAACAAACTGAAATGAAATCTGAAGTCTCCTTTTAGAAAGGAGAAATGAGGTGCCCAAATTCAGAATGGGAAAGAAATGATTAATAGTATTGCAAAAAAAAAAAATTGTGTACAGTCATTTAGAAATTCATTGTATATGGATGAAAGAAAAAAAAAAGGGAATATGGATTCATGTTGCGCTATAATTGCAGCAAAGTGTGAACTGTCTGTCCACTTGTTTCAGATTTAGAAAGAATGTGCTTGCAGATTAAGTCATATCAGTGAGTTGGGCAAAAGAGGGAATTTTTCAGGGATTATTTTTTCTCTGTATCATCTGGTACATCCAGTGGCCTGTTTAGCCCCATGATACTGTAACCAGTATATCAAAGCTGCATGGCATTTGACTGGTTACTGATAATGAGAACAATGGTGAAAAATTGTTCTCCATCTATCAGTTGATGAAGGGACAAAAAACAAGTTGATTTAACACAGAAAATTTAAGGAAAATTTTAGCGAAGATTTAAAAGTGCGTGGTTAATAAAACAGACATGTAGAGTACAGATCCGCTTAGGTAGAATCTCCTTTTCTAAGAATGAGCTTGATAACCCACTCCCGGGAATGATTTAACACTTGGATAGTTCTCTGGTCCCTGGTTTTGTGCAGCAGTGTTCTACAGATGGGGTGGCGTTCGGATCGGAAAAAGGAGTAGTTATCTCCATGTGAGTTTGATTCTTATTCCCTCACACATCCCATTGGATGATCCCCCCCGCCATAGGTGGTCCTCAGATTGGTGAATCCAAGGATAACTGTGCATCTAAAGAGCCCAGAGCTCGGTTTTAGAATACTCTATCACTTTCAGTGTGATGTTGCCAGGCTTAATAGGTCTGCAGTCTTGCCTTTTGGCTCATTCTTCACAGTCAAACAAGTAAGGAATAAGCATAATCCTGCTCTTCTAACAGCTGAAGACACCGAGGCAGAGAAATTGAGTCTGCTTTTTGAAGATCCCAACCCTATTTTGCACAAAATTGTCCCAAAGACCTGCTCAAATTGAGGTGTCTACATTTTTTTTTTTATGTATGCTCTTAAAAGCTGGGTCCAGGTGACTATCAAACAGATAGTCAGACTGCAGGTAGTGTTAGTGTACTTAATTGTCTGGCTCACCTTTTCAGGTAATTTTGTAGCTCTGTTTTGTTCCTGAGATCTATTTCTGACTAGGAAAATGTTTTATCGTAGGTTTTGAAACTGCAAAGTCTCTTGCACTGCATGGGGCACATGTTATCCTGGCCTGCAGAAATATGTCAAGAGGCAATGATGCTGTACAACGCATTCTTGTGGAATGGGTAAGTGAATGTATATAGTGTCCAACACTAAGCTGTGTTTTTCAAGATGTGAAGTCTTTTGTGCAGTACAAGCCGTTAAATAGATATTGTGCTGCTGTGCAAGAGTCTAAGGAAGAAGGCATTTGTCTTATTTTGTAATATCCTGTTCAGTCACTGGTATATAAGTGATAGAGATTTTTCATTTCATATGACTGTATTGGACTGCAAGGCTTGACGTGCTGTTATCCATGTTACATACAGATGCTTTGTAAGGGCAAAAATGTTTGAAAGAACCACTGAGGCATGTTTCATAGTTCATAGGACGTTTCCAGAACCAAAGTGTATAACTGAAGGAGAATGTACACACTCGGATATTAGAGATAGTCATTATGTTGCCCATAGTTTTTATACTATGAGAGATTTCAGAGGATCATTCTTACACTTTTCAAAACCATGAGTGTTTCCCTCCTTTGCTTTCCTAGTCTATCAGGCCCAACAGCACTGCTGCCAGGCAGTTTTTTTCCCTTCCCATTTCTTCCCTTTCTTTCTTTTTTTTTTCTTTGTTTTTCATTTTGCCATGCAAATGCAAGCTTTTGAGTACTGTCTATTCTCTTGTTTCTCTTTGACTCCTAACTTCCCCTTTTCCTTTCCTTTTTTTTATTGGGGGGGGGGGGGGGGGGGGGAATTGTATTTGACTCTCATAATTGGGGGGGGGGGGGGGGGCGGGGAGAGAATCTTCTAAGGCCCTTATTAAAATTTATTCAGTGTTCTTAATTTATTCCTCCCACAATCATTTACTTGCTAGTAAGGATTGCAGGCTAGTTTTGTCTGAGCTTGCTATGACTGCTGGCTTCCAGGAGATAATCTGTTGACACAGTCCTATACACTTTACTTGAATAATAAACTGCAGGATCAGATTCTCGGAATTTTATTTTTTTCCTGCTAAAATTAGTGATGAGTGTTTTAGCTTTATTTCCCAAGCTCTGAAAATATTTCAGCTGTTCCCAGATGATATGGGAGAGCACTCAGTAGTATTAATATTTACACGTAAGTAGTCTACAGATAATTATAATATTTATTAGTGCAAAACAAACTTCTTATTTACAAGTAGAGTATTTCCAAATAAGTGATGCTTATAATGCTAATTTTTGTAACCACAAGTTTCTTCAAGAAACAGTCTTTGGATTTTGGCCTTTTTCTCTTGCCCAGATGATAATGATTTACAGTAAAGGATTGGGAGGGAAAAATATCGACCTTTCCCCTTCAGTACTTCACATTAAAGCTCTCTTTTTGTTTTTTATTTCAATAGCATGGAATTCCAAGAGAATTCCAACAGGGGCAAGCAAAGTGTGTGTTGCTTAAAGTTCATCTGTTGGTTCTCTTTCAAGACAACTGGATTTGGTGATATTTTGTCTTTTGAATTTAGTAGTCCCGGTCCAGCTAAATATGTATGTTTTTTTTAAACATGTATGGTTTTTTATGTAACTAAAATAAGGCGGTACTGAGTACCTTTTATTTTAAAAATATCCCGTTACCCCCTTAATTCTAAGCATATCTCTGAGCACTTTGAAGGCAATGGGAGTTAAGGAGTACTTGTCTTAATACCTATATTATCTCACCAAAAGTTAATGAATTGTTAATTGAATGAAGATCACTGAAGGTCAAATTACTTCAGAAACACTACAGTTATTTACTAACAGTTTTCAAATTCTAATTGTTCAGAAAAGAATCTCATCTGTAAACTGGGTAGCTGGAAAACCTTCAATGCATCTTTGTAATGGCTTTGTTGTTGTTTATTGAGAGGGACTAATTAACTTTGATTATTGCACTAATATTATGGCACTTTGACAGTCCTTCAGATTTATGACTCTGGGAAAATAAACAAATGAAATGCAGGTGCTGGAGCAGAAAGAATAAGTTATTACTGAACTTTAATTACTTGGAGTGTGTAACCAGGAGAGAATTAGTTGATGAATTACAAGATGCTTAAAATTTACATCAAATTGTAAGCAGTCTTGAGGAAAACAAACACAAAAACCTGCCCCAAAGTCAGCTACTGAAAACAAAGAGACAAAGATTAATTTGATTGATTGATACTAATATTAAAATATTGATGTAAAATATTAATTTTTAGCTTATAGGTGTAACTATGGAGCAGGAAGTTGTTAATTGAAAATTCTTTCCTCAAATGAAAGAGTTTAAGAAAAATGTCAACAACCTCTTTATATGGTTCAGATGAATTCTCAATATGTAGCTGCAACTACCCTGCTATGAAGAACTTCAAAGCATCCACAGTATTTTGTCTCCCTTGTTTCCTAGGGAAAGCAAAATTATTGAAAGGAAATTGGTTTACCTTTAAATTTGGAACCAATTAAAAAAAAAATACAGCTGTTTAGGATGCAGCCTTACAAAGCCTCGTGTTTATGTAACTCAGGTAGTATTTTTGTCAACAATAGTGCTACCTACTTGTTTTATATTTTCTTGTAAATTTTTGTGATTAAGTCTGAGCTGCACTATAAATACTGTCTTCCTCCAATATTTTGAGGGGCGGAAATCTGGTACATATGTTCCTATTCTTCAACTGAATGTATGAACCCCATTTTCTTCTAATTTGCATGAACTATACTTTTATGACTAAAAAAATCTTTGCAATATTGAATTCTAGTGTGTTTACGTGTCGTAAGTGTACCGTGTTGGTAATAAAATTGGTATTTCTATAGTAAGGTGTATATTACCAAAAGTGATGTGTATCCTATTCTGGCTTTTCTGTGGGACAGTATGCTTTAGTACTCAAGGTTTAAATGTCAGACAAAGACTGTTTCCTTTTTCATGCTTTTTGTTTTCTGATGCAAAAGAGAGTTCCGCTTATTTTGCAAGAAGACAAAATAATTAAAAATGTATAAAGAAACAACTGTTATTATTTCAAGTTTTGATACAATTATCTAATTGATGGTCTGTATTAAATAAAGCCTGAAATATATATGGGGAAAAAATATAACTCTTAAAAAAAAAAACCAAACCAATCGCCAACACTGCCAAACCAGAACAAAACAAAAAACCCCTAAAATCAAACCTACTGTGATGCAGCATTTAAAAATAAAGTACAGCATATATATATATATACAGTTAGGAAACCATCCAGCTTGTTCCCTTAGTGCGTCTGTGACATCCTTGTCTGGAATGGCATAAACCGAGTGTCTGCAGAAAGACAGCTCTTCTTTGGTCCTGTTGTACTTTTAAATAAGTTGTTAGGCAAAAAAAAACCAGTTTCAGTCTGCTTTTAGTGAAAGCTGAAAATCAAGCTTATAAAGAGAAAATGGGACAGCTAAATGGCTTGAAAAAATCCAATTGTTAAGATTTAGAGAAAACAGGAGGAATAATGGGAGAAAATAAGATTTTTCAGATTAGCTGCCATTATGTTTAAAAAACAAATTCAAACTGATCTTAATTGGCTGTTGGAGACAAATCTAGAAAACTTTCTTTTTAACAATTTATGTCTAAACAGCGCTTTTATAGAGCTTGAGCCATTTGAGTAGGGATTACCCATATAAACTTGCTAATTACTTTAGATAACTGACATTAGTTTGCAACCTGCAGTATTCCAGTTATTTTCTTTCTAAACTACAGCAGAATTTTGCTAATAGAGGGTAATTGCCTTATGTAAAGCGTTGTGACAAGTTTTAATGTAACTGGTCTAGCTAGTCTGTCAAATATAATTTTTATAGAAAGGTATAGTTGATTATATTGGTACAATCTAATGTTTTATATACATACGTGTGTATATAGAAAGAGAAGGAAGAGAAAGTCTGTAAAAGAAGCAGATAAAAAGAGAGATCAGTATAGCTTTACATTTTATATCTTGAAAATGAATGTTGTTCACGCACGATGACATTCAATATCAGTTTAAAACTGTTTGATAATTTCTTGCTCAGAAAAGAGGAAATTAGAATTCTAGAGTTATGATTCATTTTAATCAGAAAGAAATTGTCAAACATAAATCTCTCCTTGAGTAGTGAAAAGGCCCAAAAGCAGCCAAGAAAAAATATCAATACTTTGCAAAGGAGGAATGATTGTTCCAATTCGTAGCTTAATTGACTTTAAGGCTTAATGAAAAACACTACAGTGCTGTTTGTACACATAGTTGCTCTGACGAACATTGAAATCTATGCTCCAGGAAGAGAAGCTAGGTAATTTATTTTACATTACTATTGATATAATTTTCTAATTGAGTATGAGCAGAATGTTTGGATAAGACTGTGTAGCTCCAGATGTTAGTGGTGTTCTCAAGAAAATACTTAAGAATATGAATGAATAAAATATTTCATAAATCACAGTTTTTTCTTGCCAAGAAGCTCTCATTTATTTATTCCTGTCAAATAGTCTTTGAAGTAGATATTAAAAGATAAATTGTAAGTTTAATATTTCATAAAAAGTATAATGTTTCTTTAGTAATTATTCCTCAGTGTTAAGCCTACAGCTCCATCAAAGATTAGATTAAACTGTAAAAAGAAAATTTGGGTTTCCTTTATATGTAGGAACTTATAAGGTAGCGATGTGACAAGAGAAGAGAGAATGACTGTGAAGAAAACCAACAAAATAAATGTGACTCCTTGCTGTATTCCTGTCCCCCAAAGTATTCTCCACCTAAGGAGTGATTTATATTCTTGCTGATTAAGTAACTGAATGAAATTAAAACCTGATAAGTGAGTCTTTGTATTCCAGTTGTAATCTTCCAAAGCACAGAAAGACGAGAGGCAAACTGGGCATGTTTACACAGAACATGAGCAACAGTTTTCATGTGTCGACTATGTGTGTTTCCTCCTCAAGGAAGGGGGACTGATTTCTGATGTAGTGTTTTGTCTCCACTGGTGTCCTTGGTTTACGATATTTTGTGTATTTGCGTGGAATACAGAATAGCTCTGTAAAATATTCTTCTGTCTTAGTCTCTTGATACTAATGGATGCTAATCTTGATACAGAAGATAAAATTTCCTTTTCTATCTATTGGATGTTAATTTTGTG